ATACTGTAAGCAAGGCGATATATTGGGATATTTCTTATTTTAGGAATAGGAAATATTTTTAGGAAAGTTGTCATTAAGAACACACCACCATATGCAAACCTTAGCAATAAATAAATACAAATTATTTAACCAGAACACAGTGGGATTTGCATTAATCAGTCCCTGTAACATTCAACGTTATTGAACCACTTTTTGTGCAGTACGAGTAAAGGGGGAAAAATTTGTGCTTGCAGGATCCTTTAGTTAAATGTATAATACGTATAAAAGGTATTTTATAAAAAGACCATATATATTTTTAGACCCTGCTTTAAAGGTTCACAATTTAAATTCACGATTGTAACATACAATGTCATAACATTTTGATCTGAACAAAAGAATTACATCTGCTTAATATCAATGAAAAATAAAGTGCTTGCAGGATTCCTAAAGAAAACAATTGTAAAACAATAAAATAAATACAGATGTTGAATATTCTCAGAACCTTTCCACTTGGATTTCACAGGTTTTTCAGTTTGAATTTATGTTCCGCGTGTAATCGCCGAGACCGTGACTTGCGCACTGCCCCAACTGCACAAAACGCCCCCACCACGAGAGAAAGCTGCGCGAGGCTCACACGGGACGCGGCAAGCGACGGAACCAAGGCTGCGCCCGCGCCACGGTCCCGCGGTGGACGTCACCACAAAAGACCAAATGACTCCACACTTCAGCTTTGTACACCAAAACAGGAACTGGGACAATTCTTTCATCCTCCATTACTAGCAGCGAACTATATTAACTCTTACCATTAGTGGCGTGCCCTAATGCTAGTATTTCCTGACTCTGTTTAAGTTCAGAGATGAAGACTGCTATCTAGCGGTCGAGATATAAACTCAAAACGAAACAACTGTCATGAATCTTGTATGATAATTTTTTTTAAAATATTGATATTCCATTTTTGAGAATCGATAGAGTATCGCCAAACAAAATATCACGATACTCACGTGTATCGATATTTTCTTACACCCCTAGTCATATTCACACCTTAAACAAACCGTACCAGAGTTCGTTTGGAAACGGACCGAGACCACCTCTTCAGCTGGGTCTCGGAGCGGTTGTTTGGTCTGCATCCGATTGCGATTGCTGTATTCACACCTGCCAAAAAGGTCCGTACCAAGAGGCGAAACTAACTTGAGTTCGATTCAATCGAACCAAACAAGACAGGTGTGAATACACCCTTTAAAATACGTCAGAGAGTTTTACACATCGGTCTGTTATTGTGGCGACATTGCCACGCTGGTCTCTAAAGTCTCTAAACGTGACGCTGAACGAAACAAACTGTGATTGGTTGTTTGACATGTCGGTCAAACGGCCTCATGGGTGGGCCTTGGCCAATGAAAGCTGCCATGGATTCCAGACCTTTAGCCGTCAGTCTGAAGGTCTGGCTACGCGAGACTAGTTCCACAGTGCCACGATTCAGGCTTAAGGTTAAGCACAGCTTGTTCTTGCTTTTGTTCATTGATTACTTCTGTTCACTGTGTTCAGGGCAGGAAGTCTGTTCGCTTTGGGGACTTCCAGTTTTGTGAGCAGGCCAAATCTGTTATTGTGGTGAGTCCTGAACAATCACAAATCCCATCAGTTTGCCTCAGATGTGTAAAGCGATTGAGTTTTTTTAATCTTTGTACTGAAAAGTCTGGTTAACTAGGACATTCATTTAAGTTTTATGCAGAAATGCTCCCCAATTTGCATACAGCAGTTTCAGCATCAGGCAATGATACATAGTTCACAAACAAGATTTCTCAAATGTGTAAAGCGATTGTTTTTTTTAATCTTTGTACTGAAAGGTCTGGTTAACTAGGACATTCATTTAAGTTTTATGCAGAAATGCTCCCCAATTTGCATACAGCAGTTTCAGCATCAGGCAATGATACATAGTTCACAAACAAGATTGTTAGTTGTGTTTGGTTAAACAAACAATCCTATTATCATTATTGCCATAAATATCAATCTTTGGTTTCTTGCGTGTCCTCGCATTGTTGTGCTACATACATGTGACTTTGCGATTGCTGTATTCACACCTGCCAAAAAGGTCCGTACCAAGAGGCGAAACTAACTTGAGTTCGATTCAGTCGAACCAAACAAGACAGGTGTGAATACACCCTTTAACATACGTCAGAGAGTTTTACACATCGGTCTGTTATTGTGGCGACATTGCCACGCTGGTCTCTAAAGTCTCTAAACGTGACGCTGAACGAAACAAACTGTGATTGGTTGTTTGACATGTCGGTCAAACGGCCTCATGGGTGGGCCTTGGCCAATGAAAGCTGCCATGGATTCCAGACCTTTAGCCGTCAGTCTGAAGGTCTGGCTACGCGAGACTAGTTCCACAGTGCCACGATTCAGGCTTAAGGTTAAGCACAGCTTGTTCTTGCTTTTGTTCATTGATTACTTCTGTTCACTGTGTTCAGGGCAGGAAGTCTGTTCGCTTTGGGGACTTCCAGTTTTGTGAGCAGGCCAAATCTGTTATTGTGGTGAGTCCTGAACAATCACAAATCCCATCAGTTTGCCTCAGATGTGTAAAGCGATTGAGTTTTTTTAATCTTTGTACTGAAAAGTCTGGTTAACTAGGACATTCATTTAAGTTTTATGCAGAAATGCTCCCCAATTTGCATACAGCAGTTTCAGCATCAGGCAATGATACATAGTTCACAAACAAGATTGTTAGTTGTGTTTGGTTAAACAAACAATCCTATTATCATTATTGCCATAAATATCAATCTTTGGTTTCTTGCGTGTCCTCGCATTGTTGTGCTACATACATGTGACTTAAAGTCTCTAAGCAGTCAGTCCCATAGACTGACATTGAAGGAAGGACATTATAACACCCCTTGGCAACCATCCACAACACTGTAGCACTGTGTGGGCAACTTTTCAGAGATTAAAGCATCATTAAAATGCTTGTGTAAATGTAGTTTGTTTGTTTGGACACATGTTTTGCAGAGGAACACGAGTCGGCAGACGAAACCCCTGCGGGTTCAAGTCATGCACTCTTCTGTAGTGGCTCATCAGTGTTTTGCGCTCAAAGCTCTCACCTGGCTCGGCCAAATCATCAGATACTCAGGTCAGTTTCTGCATCTTTCTCTCACTTTCTTTTTTTCTCTCTCCTTTGAATTCTTTCCTTTCAATCTCTTTTAGAAAAGCCTTATTGTTCAGTTTCTGATTTATCTTCTGCAATGCCAAATTCTTTTCCATTTAGCAGTTGCAATAAATTTGGCTTTAATGGCTGATATTTTGTTGTTTTTGCTATGGTTCCAGTAATTATCAGTTTACCAAATGCTACCACCAGTTTTAGGTGTTTAAATGGGTAATGACATTGAATTTTTTTTATTGCTATTTTAATATGTTCCCTGAAGTTCACTTTTGCACCAAAAACATATATGTGGAAAGACAATTATTTTCAACCCTCATTCTTACCCTCTGTCTGAAATGATCTCTTTTTAATGGGCAGCTCCTTTAAGGCTTGTCAGTAAATGGCCACTGTTATGATTAACATCATTTCATGAAACACTATCAGTCCCCCCTTGATATTGCACAAGAGTGTTTAGAAAACATTTTCCATATAAAACTGCCATTTAGAGACAAAGCGTTATGAAATCATTTACTTATGGTTTATGATGGAGCTGCTCCCAGATCCAATACAGTTGGCTGCTTCCTGTTTCAACAGAATTTTCATTGCATACTCTCCATGACATTGTGCCACGTTTACAAAACAATGCTTCGAACAAAGACTTGATACTCCGACGCAATCCGGGGATGCCATTAAACTGGATGCGTAAAAGCGAACATTCTTTGCACTTCCAGTTGTCCTGTTGTCAGGAGTAGCTCAAATGCCTGGAGAACGTGAGAAACTGAACGCGTATCTGTATACTGTGTCAAGTGTAGACCGCAGCAGTGATTATAACGGTGCTTGCATCAGTGTAGGCTAGTGTCAGCCGTTTCATACACACACACACATAATGTGGAGGACGTTTTAATCTATGAAACTTGCAGGATGATTTAATGGTACAAAGTCCTCTTATGTCAAAAGTTCAAGGCAAATTTGATTTCTTTTGTCATGATGTAGCAGTGTGCCTTGTGTCAGTGTTTGTGAAGAATCAGTGCCTGAGTTTATTGCTGTTCCTATCAGATGCTCTGAGGAGGATCCTGTGTCAGGTGGGTCTGCAGCGAGGACCGGAGGGAGAGAACTCTTCTCTAGTGGACACGCTCATGCTCTGTGACTCCAAGATGTGGAAAGGTGAATGAATGAATGTGCTGACATCAGCTCTACTGAGATACTGCAGCACTGGAGAAACACACAGCCCAGTGAATGCCATGAAAGCATGTTCATATCACACCTTACCCCAAAATCAAAAGAAAAACAGATTAAGATGTTTAGTATTCTAGGAAAATGAAGTATATTTTAGGACAAGTGAAATTTATTTGGAGTATTTATCCAACTATTATTGCATTTCATGACTGACAAGACTGATTTCCCTTCCAAGTCTCATTACTGTCACGTGTCTGTACGTTTGACATTTTTATTCCCATTATTTTTAGTTGAGTGTCTTCCATTCTCAGTGTTCTTGTTACACATTATAGTAAACTATGTGTAATTAAAAGCAACTAACCCTATAGAAAGTACATGTTGTTAATTAATATTGCTCAATACTTAATTATATACTTAGATGTATTATATACTTGAAAATGAAGTGCAACCATAATTTCTTGTTTGATTCTTTTGTTTTCGGGGTGAATTATGACTGGAACATGTCCTTGATGGGTTTTGTGAGATTCTCCAAGTTAAGTTCTAATCCAAGTATCTAATCTTGTGTTTCCTGCAGGAGCGAGAAATGTTTACCACCAGCTCTTTATGAGCAGCCTACTCATGGATACAAAGTACAAGAAACTTTTCGCAATCCAGTTTGCAAAGGTAAGACTTCAATTTGCTATGGCACAGTCTTTATATTGACCGTAAACCACACGAAGGCCCAAAAAGTGGAGAAAATTTTGCACATTTTTTCCACTAGAGTTTGCATTCTCATGATAACTGAGGAATGGGATTAAGAAAAAGGTAATTGTGATTTTTTTTTATCTCACAATTCTGAGAAAAGAAGTCAAAATTGTGAGATATAAACTCAGAATTCTGCCTATTCCAGGTTTGCATCTCACAATTGCAAGTTTATATCTCACAATTCTGACCTTTTTTCCTCTCAGAATTCTGAGTTTATATCAACTAAAATGAAAACTTGCAGTTGTGAGCTATAATTTCAGAACTGCAAGATATGCAATTGCAATTCTGACTTTTTCTCGGATTTGCAGTTGCGAGTTATAAAATCCAATTCTGAGGGGAAAAAATCTCTTCTTCAGTCTCTTCTCACAATTCTGACTTTATAACTCACAATTACAAGTCTACATCTCTCTCAATTGATCTCTCTATATTATATGTAAACTCATAGTCTCTAGGAAAAAATCTGAATTGTGAGATAAAAAGTCACAATTACCTTTTTTTTTTCTTTTTTTTTATTCAATGGCAGAAACAAGCTTCCATAATAGTGCAAGGCATCACTTAAGAATATACATTTGCCTTTTAACTAAAGTTACTATCTTATATCATGACGATAATTTCCACACAGTATTCACATGGATATAGTTATTAAAACATATTTTAAATGGAGCAAATTCCACACACATTCCAGTGTAAGTGTGATACTGAAAATACAGTTTTGTTTGTTTTTGCAAACTGGTGAAATTATTTTCTGTGGTAATCAACAAAATGGTGTAGATTAAACTTGCTGCACCATCATATGATACAGAATTAATGTTAGAATGTGCCAAGTTTGACACTTGAATATCCAGTTCACTTTCACTTCACACTCCGTTTGATTCAGCTGATCTGGGAGGATAAGAGAGTTTGAGCAGCCATTCGCTGTTCAGTGAGGGGTATCGTCTCAGAGAGAGAGCATGTGTAATAGAGAGAGATACCATGACTCATGCTGTCTTTGACTCGCTGCCAGCTGCAGTCCTCCGACTGACCGAGTCATGCTGTGACAGCAGGAAATCTTTCTCTTAGAGTGCACTCTGATGTAGGGCCCTGTGAAATCTGTTTTATTATTATTTTTTTCTCAAATTTGTCCATTTTAATATTTCTGGATTACATTTGTTTTCTACTTAACAATTTAATAATTTATTACAAATAATTAATATTTTTATTTAATAATAATTAAATACATTTATTAATAATTTGGTCCTGAAACATGTTTTATTTTATAACTTTTTTTTTCAGAAGTTCTGTGTTGTTGGTGCTATTTATTATAATTTTTTAAATGATGATTTAAACTTGTAATGAAAAATACCTGCGATCAAATGAAGGCATGAAATATTAAATTAATCTTTTGAAATGTAATCAAATTAAAATTGAACACTTGCTTTTATTTTTTGGGAAACCAAGTGCTGCAAAATGGAGTTTTACTGTTAAAATTAAAACTTGCAGGAAAAATGTTGCCTGAAAAAAGCCTGATTCTTTAAAAATAAAGATTTCTTATTTTGATAAGTATATTCTATTGTACAATATTGATACATTTCTCTCCACAGTTTCTTAAAGTTAACTCAAACTTTTATTGAGGTGGGTTGTTGTGAAGACCTTTGGGTTTCTGTGAGTGTGTGTATGATGATAGTTTTATCAAATTAAATGGCGAAATGCTGGTGAAGTGACTCTCAGAGCAGCTCTGGAGATGAAGTTCATGTTTTCATGTCCTCATAAAATGAGACTGCGGATGCTGAAAACACCACAAGCATTAAGCATGATTAAGAATGTGCAGTAAATGAAACTCAATCATTTTCCATATTGTGATATGATTTTAAGTGTACGGCCCTGCTTTTGATTTATTTATTTAAATTGTGCATAATTCAGTGATACTCCACGTTATATGGTATTTTATTTATGACTCCATTCCACAATTCTGTTTGCGTTTTCCACATTGCAGAAATCATAGGGCCCTAACTCAGTTAGCTTAAACAACTCTAGAAAGTCAGGGTGTAAAGTTTAGCTTTAGCTCGAGTCCCCTGGCTCCACATGTGCCCCAGTGCTACGGTGTAACTTCAAGCTGTATGCGCCAGACACAGAACCGAGTCGGGGGACGTAACTGCAGATGCCCCTGACCTCTGACCCGGAAGGTGAATCTGCCCCCTTCCCCCCTTCCCTTAGAATTACCGGCGCCTCCAGACAGATTTTATGGAGGACGATCACGAGCGTGTAGTGTCAGTGACTTCTCTGTCAGTGCAGCTCTTCACCGCCCCCACTGTGGTGAGTACCGCCAATCCCACACACCTCTCCTCTCTCTTCTGCCTCTTTCTCCTCTCCTCTGCCTCCTTCACCGCTGCCTGCAGAACTATGAGCGCTTGCAGAACGACTACGTGAAGGACGACCATGACAGGGAGTTCTCAGTCACTGATCTTTCTGTGCAAATGTTCACCGTGCCTTCTCTGGTAAGTATGTGCAGGGAGAGACGGCCTGCCATGAGGAAGAGGCTTGTCATTTCGGGTTTTTGGTCGCTGCTTCCGTTTCCTTTTTCTCTTTACATTTTATTTTAATGCTTTCTCTTCGCTTTCAATTTTTCTTGTATCTTTTTACAATTGTTCATTCCTCTTTCCTTACTCTTGGTTCCTTCCTCTTTACTCTTTACTGTGATGCACTGAAATTAGGGGCCAAGCACAGAAGGTGCGATGGCACCTATTGTATCCGTTGGCGTTCTTATATTCTTCTTCTTCCGCTCTGGAAGTCTATGGCAGCCCATAGAACCGCTAGCGGGAAAGTTGTGAAATTTGGCTCACGGATAGAGGACAGTCTCAACATTAACCACAGCAAGTTTGGAGTCTCTAACTCAAACTCTCTAGCGCCACCACTTGTCCAAAGTTTCACTCATGTTTATGCTAATAACTTTTGAACTGTAAGGCACAGAAGGAAAATATTTTTTTCTTCTGAAACCTTGGCTCATGCCAAGTTGAATGTCCAAAATGTAAAAAGTCCAAAATTAAAAAATCGCAAGGTTTAGTTAATTCGCAATATTTTTTAATAGTTCGAAAAACCAACTTTTTTGAACTCGTCCTAGACGGTTTGTCTGATTTTCACCAAAATTGGCTCAGATCATCTTCAGACCATGCTGGCAAAAAGTTATGGACTTGAAGTTGATTAGCCAAACCGTTCTCGAATAACGCGCAAACAAATTCTACGAAAAGCACGCAAAAATGGATGTGAGGCTATATCTCCGCAATGGTTTGGCGTATTAAGACCAAACTTGGTGTGTGTTATAACAAACATGACCTGAGGCTACCTCCAGTGTTTCGGCACAGTGCCACTTAGTGGTCAGGAGATATGAAACATTTCTATTTTGCTTATAACTTCTGAGTGGTTTGGCCAAAAATCACAAAACTGGTCTCTTTAGATTCGGTGAAGCATGCCGAGTCGGCCATTTTGAATTTTGTCTTAAAATGCTGTATTTTACGAACGCATTGACATATTGTTACGAAACTCTGTATGCATTTTCGACACCATGCCCTGATGGTACTCAAAAAGGTTGGGGGCAGCGCCACCTTGTAGTCAAAAGTTATAATTACATTTCTAAAAATGCTAATAACTTTTGGTTACTTTAGCCTATTATAATGAGACTGATGTTGATAGATTTCTTGGATCATGCCGAGATCATCTATATCAATTGTCGAAATTGGCCGAACTTCCTGTCCGCCATTTTGATTAATGTTGGAAGCCTATTTTTTCGAGCTCCTAGACCATTGGTCCGATTTTCACCATCTTCAGACCATGCTGGCAAAAAGTTTATACATAAAACCGTTTTCGTTTAATGCATCAATAAATTTGCTGGAAAGATGCAAAACTGCATCTGAGGCTGTATCTCTGCAAAGCTTTGACATATTGACACCAAACGTTGTATGTGCCATTGTCCCCTCACACTGACCATGCCACATTAATTTGGTAACAGCGCCACCTATTGGTCAAAAGTAATAAACCATTCATTAACCATTAATAATGAAATTTACATACATTCTAATAACTTTTTATTGCATTAGCCTATTGTGATGAAACTGGTCTCAAAATATTCCTTGGGTCATGCTGAAAACACAGATACCAATTTTGTCGTAGTCGGCTAAAGTTCCTGTCCGCCATTTTGATTTGTTGAAAACTTACTTTTTCGAACTCCTCTTAGACCGTTGGTCCAATTTTTTTTTTACCAAAAATCGAGTCAGATCATCTTCAGACTGTATTGACAAAAAGTTATGGATTTCGTGTCGATAGACGATGTATAGCGCCGCTACAAATTTGAGGCATAATGCCAAAATGACTCTAAGGCTGTATCTCTGCAAAGCTTTGACATATTGACACCTAACTTTGTATGTGCCATTGTCACCTCACACAGAACATACCACATCGATTTGATGACAGCGCCACCTATTGGTCAAAACTGATGTGCCACTAAATCATGTTACCAGAAATTGTATTTATGATTTTTCAACCATTTTGCTAAAATTTTGCTAAAAATTCAGCCTAAAATTGATTTAATTACTCATTGTTGCAGTTGGTCTGATGATCCATGCCATGCTTAGCTCCTCATTTCTCTCTGGTGTGCTTGGCCCCTTAATTGCTGCTTGCAGCTATATTTATTATTATTATTATTATTTTATCAAAACTGAAATTTAAGTTTTCAGTTAGCCAAATTCAAAAATAGTACCAGTAATCAGATTTATTTAGTAATCAACACTCAAATAAAACTTAATTGTATGCAAATATATGCAAATAAAAAGTTATAAAGTAATTGTATGGAAATATAAAGTTGCACATAACTTGTCAGTCAAATTTTTTATTATATAATTATGTTGCAGTTGAAATACAAATATTTAAATTTACTGTAATAATTTGTTTTCATGACAAATGTACTTAAACATACAATAAACGAGACATCACTAACAGGTAAAGAATATATTGAATTTGTAATATAGTGCATATGTTTAGCAAAATACTCCTAGAATTATTTTTTTTGTAGCTGACTAATGAGATATGGCTTTCTTGAGGTAAATGTAAAGTTACTTGACATAGTTTACAAGTTCTTTTATTTGATTTTTTAAGTAATCAGAATTTGATAGCTTTTAGACTTTCATATCAAAAGTAAAAAATAAAGCTTATTGAGATTATTGGGATGGTATGCACGCATCAAATAATGTTTTAGAGAAGTTTTGTTCATACATCAAACCAAAATTGTAGATCAATTAAAATCAAGATATCAGTATTGTCCTAACAGCTGGCAGGTTTCTGTTGTAGCTTGACAGTCAAAATGCATCATTGGAGAAGTACTAATAAAACGTCAGTAAATTATTTAGTTTTGCCAAAACCAAAAATTTATTTTCGGTTGCTTCACTACTCTTCTTGTTTTCATCCTCTTCATCCTCATCCACTTCCCTCCCCCTTTTTAATTTTTCTCTGCACTTCCACATCTGCTTTCTCCTCTCTTTCCTCCTTCCTTTCCCTTTCCCTTGCCTTAGTTTTTGCGTTCTCTTCTGTCTCAACTTCTCCTCTCAATAAATGTGAATTTTGCATATAGAAAAACAGCTTACCACCCAAACCTCCAGCGGCCTGTCAGATGTGGCAGTGGTGTATGTGCTATTTTCCAGGCGCGGATGTTGATCACAGAAGAGAACCTGATGACCACCATCATCCGCACCTTCATGGACCACCTCAGACACCGAGACCTGCAGGGCCACTTTCAGTTTGAACGCTACACTGCACAACAGGCCTTCAAATTCCGAAGAGTCCAGAGCCTTATAGGAGACCTCAAGTAAGATACTGAGCATGTCCGCCCATTTACACAGGAAGGACTTCATATACATTTATCTTTTTGTGTCTAAAATTCCCATTCCTCGAGATGTGTGTCATGATGTATTTCTCTTGGATGCAGGTATGTCCTGATAAGCCGTCCAACAGAGTGGACCGACCAACTCAGGGAAAAGTATCTGGAAAGTTTCGATGCTTTCTTGGAGTTGCTAAAATGCATGCAGGTGACTATACCAATCTGATTTTAAGATTGTGTGTCAATGATATTTGAAATTGGGCACTGAAACAGCGGTTTGTGTGTGTGTGTGTGTGTGTGTCCTCTTTGCAGGGAATGGACCCTGTAGTGCGTCAGGTGGGGCAGCACATAGAGATGGAGCCAGAATGGGAGGCAGCGTTCACCTTACAGATGAAGCTCACACATATCATCTCTATGATGCAGGAATGGTGTGCAAATGTCTGTAGTCAATATGCATTTTTCCTAGTTAATGACAGTCAAATACAAAAAGAGCCTTCAGGACATGTTCAATCCTGTGTTATATTTTAAATATTGAACAAATTATAATTTTTTGTGTTTATGTAAGTTGCTAATTCAGCACAGAGATAAAGCTCTGCTTAATATAGACCATAATTAGGAATGGGAGTAAGCTAATATTATTAGAAATGAATTGCTTTATACATTTTTTTTTAAATAAGAATGTTAATGCTTATACACACAATGATAATTTGACTGATATATCTCTCCAAAATATGTCATTGAAATTCATTGGTAAAAGTGCTGAAACACTGATATTATTAAAATTGTAGCAATTGTAGAGAACCAAGAATCTATGGAGAATATCAGACATCTCGATGCATTGCATTAATGACAGTTTGGCAGGAAAATTTGCTTATTTATTATAAAAGCAAAGTACAAGAAACCTTTTAGCACAATTTGATTTATTTTCTCTATGGTAAGTATAAGTTCTTATTCATGCTGTTTTTGGATCTAGGCTGGAGCTTCCATGATGGATCCAAACCACTTCCTGATGATCATGTTGAGCCGTTTTGAGCTCTATCATATCTTCAGCTCAGCAGACTGCAGAAAGAGATGCAGCAGAGAGAACGCTAACAAGGTCTGCTTGCTTCCAAACCACTTTTTGTCCCCATTTCTTTTCTCTTTACTTGATTTCTCTCTGCTTGCACTAATTTCTTTTGCCAGTGACGCGTTTCTCTCTCTGTCTCTCAGGATGTGGTTCAGCAGAATAACACACTAATTGAAGAGATGCTGCATCTGGTCATTATGATCGTGGGTGAGTGAATATTTCTCAACACACGTCCTTTAAATGTTGTCATACGGATTTATTAAGCTTATTTGACACCATAGAAAGTTTAAAAAATAGTTTTCCTGCAGGGGAGCGATACACAGCAGGTGTTGGTCAGGTGGAGTGCTCTGATGAGATAAGGCGAGAGATCGTTCACCAGCTATGCATTCGATCCATGGCCCACAGCGAGCTGGTCAAAGCCCTGCCTGAGAATGTAAGTCAACCCTCGCTGCTTCACCTTGCCCAAGATCATAAGTAATTGTTAGCTTTGAAAAAAAAAAAAAAACATTACGCAAATATAGGAGAGATAAGTAAGTTACTAGATGCAATCATTTAAAAAATGTGAACAGTATTAGCCTTCTTATTCCAATAATTGTATAAAGCAGTTCATTTCTGCCATTAGGGAACCATCATTAAATTCTATACAAATCCCATCCATAATCATGGTCTGTATTAAACAGAGAATAGCTTTATAAGAGATCTTTGTGCTGATATAACAACTTACAAATACACATGAAAGTCAGAAAATTAAATTTAATAAGGATTGATCTTGTAAAGTTCCCGTTGAGCTAAAGCAGGACAGATGATTTTTTGTATTTGACTGCCACCTAGTGGTAGTTTGTGCTAATGAATTTTACACACCCTTCTGCACACAGGAGAATAAGGAAACCGGCATGGAGAGGGTCATCGACAGTGTGGCTTCGTTTAAGTGAGTGTCCTTAATAAAAGAGTGTTGTCCGAAGAGTTGAATTTGTCTGTGTGTAAGCCTGTGTGAATTGTGTCGTACAGGAAGCCTGGTGTGACTGGTAGAGGACTTTATAAACTCAGGCCAGAGTGTGCCAAGATGTTCAACCTTTACTTCCACCATTACTCCAGAGCTGACCAGTCTAAGGTAACGCTGCATTATCGAAATTGAAACTCACAAAGAACAATAGTTAAAAATCCATTTTATTTATTTATTTATTTATTTATTTTTTTGTCCTTCAGGCTGAAGAGGCCCAGAGAAAAATAAAGAGGCAAAATGGGGAAGATTCAGGTACTAAACTAACACACACACCCATTCATTAGGTGTGGGCAAACAATTCAAACGTTTCACTCAGAAAAGCACATTGCGTAATTAAAGTGGCTTGTTTAATTTTTTTTTTTTTTTCTGTAGTTCTGAATCACTTTTTATTGACAAATTTTGAGAATGGTGAGGATGGTGATATAAATTGGGCAGCACATAAAACATTCATAGCATTATGTTGGGCTGCAAAATTAGCTGTGCTTGTTTTTAAGGCTGCACAGTATAATAATAATAATTCATTTAAAATAGTAATTTAATGATTTATTAATAATTGTATTGTTGGTGTTGTTGTTAGTTCTACTTCTAGTATTACCAAATAAATTGCTAAATACAAAAATATATATTACTATATATATATAATATTTATATTGTAATATTTCACAGTGAAATAAAATTAAATATTTAAGAAAAATCATATAATTTAATTTTACATTACAGCTGTATCAAACTTTTGTTTTGATGGAAGTCCACAGGGAGCCTTTAAAGTAGGGATGTCATGAGAACGATACTACGGTACCAAGTCAGTATAAACATTTTAAAATCCTGCCGGTACTTGTTTTTCTTCAGTAGCGGTAGTACCGATGATGTCGAAGTTTGCGACTAGCGAGGCTGCAATTCTTCCGGAACTGACGGGGGCAGGCAGAGCATACGCCTGGAAGTGTTTCAGTCAGTCCTCAAACGGTAAAGAAGAAGATAATACGCCTAAAAAGCACACAGAAGAATTAAATGTGGAAGATGGCGATGATATATGAATATGATTGTGTGAGATTTAAATGAGAGCGCACAGCTCTGAAAGCACGAGCGCTGCGCAAGATCACGCACACGCATAAACTGTCTTGACAGCTTACAGCTTGTTTATTAGTTGTGTATCCGTCCGCGGATTATCTTTATTGACATTATTGGCTAATATTAGCCTACTGGTTTAAATAATTGTTATTTATGTTAATGGTTTTAAAAAGTATTTTCGGCCTGCCAGTATGCCAGTGAATTTAAACTAATGCTTGCATTCAGAGTATAGGTGTGTGTGTGTGTGTGTGTGTTTGTGTGTTATTTGAAGGCCAAGTGCCACTAATGTAGTGTTTTTGTAATGTTAAAGGGGTCATATGATGCGATTTCAAGGTTTCCTTTCTCTTTGGAGTGTTACAAGCTGATTGTGCATAGATAGACGCTGTGTGTTTCTAGGCGAAAACAAAAGCACTTTATTTGGCCTTCCGAAAGTAGATGCATTTAGGAATCTTTAAGATTACTTACAACAAAACAGCAATGCATTTTATGGACGACCGTTTCGTGAACCTAGGAGAGGAGGTAATTCTGACTTTGCTGTGACAATCTGGCGCTTCTGAATCAGCTACTGTTTTGTTATTAGTTTAAGTATTTGCTATTGACAGTTCAAATGCAGAGTTTTGTGCATTGTGTGTGTGTGTGCGCGCCCACGCGTGTGTGTGTGAGAGAGAGAGAGAGAGACAGCGTCACATCACAGTAGAGTCAGCTGTCTTAACCGTGGCTTGTGTACTGCAAACACATACCAAGCTTCATCACTGTGTCTGTCACGACACACACACACGCACACCTCCCTGAGTTGAGCTGATCGAATCTCTTCATTGTAGCACCAGGTGAGGCTCCTGCTAACACTCCCAGTATCTTGGCTCTATTGGAAACCCTGCAGAACGCTCCTCATCTGGAGGTGCACAAGGACATGATCCGCTGGATCCTCAAGGTAAAGCTGATCCAAATCTAATTACAAAGCCACCTGTTACTAGAATGAATGTGTAAATGTCTCAGCTATCCAAGAGGGGGCAGCAAAAAAAAATCATTTGTTTTTTTTGTTTTATTAGTTTTTGTTGGTTAATTTATTACTTTTTAATTATTTATTTATTAGATTTCTTACATGTTTTATTTATTTATTTGATTTTTATTTTTATTTGAACTTGTTTGGTATTTTACAATTTTCCTTTTTATAATTGTTTTTTTGTTTTTTAGTTGTTTTTATTTTAATTGGATTTCTTGCTATATTTTTCTTTATTTTAAATCTAAACATGAAAAAGGTGTTCATATTTCATATTACTCATGTATCTGCAGACTGTGGCCAACATCAAAACCATGCGGGAGTGCACAGCCAGTGCGCCCCCTAGTGACAGCTCAGGGCACAGTCAAGAGGAGGTGAGCATAGGAAGCGTAACACGCTTGCATCATGATCCGGTAAAGTTGCATTGTTGTCTGACTGGATGTATGTGTATGTGCAGACGGTGCGGGATAAAGATAAGGCGGAGCGGAAGAGGAAAGCAGAGATGGCGCGGCTCCGGAGGGAGAAGATCATGGCTCAGATGTCAGAGATGCAAAGACACTTCATCAACGAGAACAAAGAGTTGTTCCAGCAGAGCCTGGAGGAGCTCGACCCATCCACCTCCTCCACATTAGAGCACAGGTACACATGCATCCCATCGGAAAATGTCACGGATCAAACATGAGTTTCCTCTCATTTCTCTCTCTTTACTTCTTAGCCCCAGTTCGTGTGATTGTACACTGGTCTGTGTGGGGCCGCGGCGGTGGCGTGCAGGCGGCAGTGAGAGGAGGCAGGTGGTGACGTGTATCCTGTGTCAGGAGGAGCAGGAAATCAGGACTGACGGCAAAGCCATGGTGCTCGCTGCTTTTGTCCAGCGCTCCACAGTCATGTCCAAAAACCGCAAGCGACCTCCACACAACCCAGGCATGTCTTTATATGTGTGTCTTCGGGTCCATAATAGCATATAAGTGCATGTTTTCTTTAATGAATGCATTGTGTTTGTGTTGCAGATAAGTATGACCCTCTCTTCATGCACCCTGACCTGTCGTTCGGCACGCACACAGGCAGCTGCGGACACATCATGCACTCGCACTGCTGGCAGAGGTAAGAATCATCATGAAAATATGAGAAACACATGCTTCCATATGCCGAAAAATGTGCTCTTCCTATCAGAGGAGCAAAAGAATGTAACTATAATTGCCTGCTTTTCAGCAGCCTTGGTTTCAGAATTATTTTTCTCATTTATTATTAAATTGTTTCCACCTGCTGTAAGATTTAGATCATCTAGTGCTTAAAAGAATTATTTAACAAAGATTTAACCCTTTAAGAGCATTGTCTTTTGAAGAGTGCTGTAGCATTTTAGAGTGTTTAGCAGTTGCATAAAAGTGGTACTAAAAAAATGCAGTAAACTCTTAAAACCCCTCTGTTAATACGTAACTAACTAACTCCACAAGGTCTATTCTCTAACAGTAGTTTACAAAGGCCTGCCTAACTCTCTTCCCAGAGGTCACTCCTCTGTTATTTTGAGGGGGTTTTTTCCAAATTAAATCAGTATACTGTTTTTCTATAGCAGTCATACAAGTTATTCTCTAGAAGTGTAACATACCGTATCAGAAGTGTAAAATAAAGTATTGTATTCTAAGTAATTTCATTGTAGATAAACTATTTAGAATATTTAATTTGGGAATGTTACATGCATCAGCAGTGCCCACCATTCCACTAGTTATAGACATTTTGATCAACAACATTACACGAAAATAAATAGGGTAAATTTTGTTTTGAAAATGAATTACGATGTAAAAATTTTATTTTACAGTCCAGCTGAAAAAATTATAAAACTAATATTTACTAAGTACTTTATTTTATAGTATGTATTTTTTTTAATAATTACAATAAAAATTATTAATATTTTATAGTCATATTGAATAAAAATAAAAGAGTAATAAAAAATAATAATATCTATAATTATTTTATGGTTAAGTTGGTTCTTGTAAAGAGTACACCCAAGGGTGAATACCCAGATTTTTCAAGGTTTTTTTTTTTTTTTTTTTTTCCAAATACCTACACAGATGCACACCACTACAAAATGACAACAGTGTCAGTTTTTTTTCCAGTACAGTAAAAAGTGTTGGTGTTGTGTATTATTTGTTGTTTTACCATTCTTTTGTTTTGTAACTGTACCCTGCAGGTATTTTGAAGCGGTGCAGGCTAAAGAGCAGCGCAGGCAGCAGAGGCTACGTGTGCACACCAGTTACAACGTGGAGAACGGAGAGTTCTTGTGTCCACTCTGTGAATGTCTGAGTAACACAGTCATTCCTCTGCTGCCTCTTACAAAGATCAGCTGCAGGTACTGCAACAAACACACACTTGACTTTGACCTTCAGCTGCTACTTTTTTCTTTTGTACATTTTGATTAGCAATGATGACATATAGGCCAACCCAGAATTGAGCATCACCATGATTCCCTTGACAAAACCCAATAGGATTTTTCTATTGGCTTTTGGATTATTGCAGAAAATAAGATCTGTGACCAACATAAGTTTATGCTTTTTCGTGTTATAGCCTATAAAAATGTCATGCCTGCAGCACTCTGTTGGTATAATAAATGTTGTGACCAAACTGTAATATATTTAGCTCTCACAGTGTAAGTAATAGATAATTAGTGTGACCTCTCAGATTAACACTCCACATACAGGTGAATGAGTAAATGAACGGAGCGGATTGGCTGATTGTGGACGGTGTTAGTGTAATACTCTCATCTGTAATAAATCGGGCAACCCCTTTGATCCTTTTGTGTGATAAGGAGACTGAAAGCCCCACTCATATGAGCTCAGCACTCCTATTAATACACACCGCCACAGGCTAAGCACCCACTGCACTTTATACGACGGTGTAGATGGTAAAAGATGTTATGAATGTTTTTTCAGAACGCACTTGAACACTCTGTGCACTTAACCCTAATTTGTCATTGCACTGTAAGTCATTTGGATAAAAGCATCTGCTAAATGACTGCTTAGTAAATCCATAATAATTAGTAATCAATAAGTTAGGCATGCTCACATCTGCAGCATGTTTGTGGCACATCTGCTTTAAAGTGCGGTCATTTCAATAGGAATCCACACAATCTTGAATTCCATATGAGGTCCCCATAGATTTTGCAACGGGTTCAACTTGAGTTCGTTACGTTGATCAGCAGAAAGCTTCTTTGTATGGAAGTGACTTTTGCTGAGATGTGCTTCAAACATCGCTTCATTTATGACAGTGGACCTTTTTGGCCAATGTGGCCGTGCATCTGTTGCATGATTTTTGTCTTTTTCTATTAAAATATGGGGCATTGGATGGATTTGATTGAGTGTTTGTTTGTGTTTGTTGCAGCTCTGAACAGCCTGATCTGAGCCAGTGGTTGAACATCACCTCTCTGCAGATGAAAGCCCTGCTCTCTGCTCACAGGAAGGCCAAGGCTGCAGATGCTGATGGTGTTGATGATATGGATGGTGTTAATGACTGTCCTCCACCTGATGGCTTCAAACTGGACTACACTCCAAAGTAAAACCACATCCAAACTACCAGTGTTTTATAGTTCCACTACACTAAAGCTTCCTTGTTAAAAATCATCACTAATAAAACGCTTTTCTTTCTGTCAGGAACCCGTACTCAAGCACCATAAAGGAGATGTTGACCACGTTTGGGACAGCATCATATAAAGTGGGTCTTAAAGTGCACCCAAATGAGCAGGACCCCCGCGTGCCAATCATGTGCTGGGGCAGCTGTGCCTACACCATTCAGTCCATAGGTCAGTCCAAGAAAGTGTTGAACTAAAATGCGTAATACTGGTCAGTAGGGCTGCACGATTAATCGAATGCGATTGTCATGCGCATTTTGATAGTAATGCCGGTTCTGTAATCAGCAGGAAATCATCATCACGTGCTTTCAGATGGAGCAGAATTTACTACACATAGCCGTAGTTCACTGACAAGTTACGCAAAAAAATCGCAGACGATTTTATTGCGCGATTCTGAAATCGAAGAAATCGTTCGCGATGATGACAACTGCATGTTGAAAGCATGTGAAAATACCACATTTAATAACATATTTTTTACTCCAAACTCACTTCATAATGTCAGTCGAGTGTTTGAAATAAATCCTTCTGTGAGATGATGTGGCTTCTTACACAGAATAAGGCACGCAACATATTTCATAGTATTTAAGCAGTGATAAAGGCATTGTATTATAAATATACTTTCTTTTAATGAAAGTTATAATAATAATAACTCAGATAAACTGTATATTGCTGTAGTCGTGTGTTTATTAGTCACGTTGAATCAATGAAAGCAGTTGAATCTTCTGTTTATTCAGCTGCAGCAATAAGCATTTTCTGGGTTTCTTCTGCGAGGCGTATTTGGAGTTTCAGCGCTAGGGCGCCCTCTGGCCTTTGGATGGAGATTTACTGCTGATCACAGAACCGTGCTTCACTGAAAGATACGCATGACGATCGCAGCTTCTGTCGAATCGCGATCTCCATTCCATTTCGATTTATCGTGCAGCCCTACTGGTCAGTGAATCAGTGCCAAAACATTTTAAACCATTTCCTCTGATAATGTAAAGAATTAGAATTGTCATAAAAACTATCATAGGAAAACCTGGAATTATCAGGGAGTTTCTAAAATTGTGATTATTACCTTCATAATATTTGCGGGTCTGTTTTGATCTGGATACATATGTGACCCTGGACCACAAAACCAGTCATAGGGTCAATTTTTTTAAATCATATAAAAGCTGAATAAATATTTGGCTGAGATACAACTATTTGAAAATCTGATATTGTTGGCTATTTCTACAAATATACCCATGCAACTTTTGACTCGTTCTGTGGTCCAGGGTCACATATTTGAAAAAAGGTATAATTTTTAATACAGGAACCAAACTTTGCAAATGAAAAACTTAAAAGGGTCACCTAATGCATTATGCAGATTTTTTTAAACATATGAAGAGTATCTCCAATTTTTTTTTTTTTTTTCAGAAATCACGTTTTTTTTATTGCGCATTCCAATTGGCGTTTATCGGCTTTTGCAAATGAACTCTTCATATATAGGTTAGATTTATCTAAAAATATATATTTAGCCTCTTTCTCATGTCTCACATACTTTTGACACTGAATTGTTTATAAACATGAATATGCATGCATATTGATGAACCATTATAGCTTAAAAATATCAGCATTTGCATCTAAAAGTGAAAATGTATACAACTAAAATGAAATTTTTTTTTTCAAAATAGTATTTGTTTTGACAAAGGAATATTTAATAATTTCAAAGGAATGTAATTAGGTCCATTGATTTCAGTCCTAATAATAGTAACTTTCAAATGTTATCTTACGTACATATTTCATGTAATATATCCAAATATGGATACATATTGAAAAATATTTTTATTGCTTTACATCAGTGATTTTTTTTTCTGTAATTCATGCAAAATTAGAAATTTCAGAATAGTATAATTAGTAAAAATGTAGTAATGACATGGTAATAACTTGGTAACATTAAAAACTTTGACATTTCTGCCCGTTCACTCATTAAAAAGTTATCATTCAGTTTTAGTTAAAAAATATTAAGTTAAACATATTCCATTGAGTCCAAAGGGACCCACAGATGTGCAAAAAAAAATAAAAAATCATATGTAAATTTTAAATGCTTATTTAATGGGAAAGAATAAATTAAAGTATATTAAAATTATCATCTCAAACAGAGAGATTGCTGGTGGATGAAGAGAAGCCTTTGTTTGGAAGTTTACCATGCAGACAGGTAATCAAACTCATTATGCACGCTATTGAATGTTTATTTGAATTTCTAATGGAAATCAATGAATAGCTGGTCCTATTCAAGTAGCCTCTGAATTCTTTAAATCTTTACTCTTGAGTTTGATTTGTTTGATAACCCAAATGTTTTGTGCATGCAGGATGACTGTTTGAGTTCTCTGACTCGGTTTGGCTCGGCCTGCTGGACCGTCTCCTCTCATGCCACTGTACAGAATCACTTTATTAGGCTCTTAGCAGGTAACAATAAGCGCTACAGTCTCTTACCACAAGTAGTTGTTCGGGCATGAATCAATTATTATGAGAAATGAATGACAACTCCCACCCTCATTCATATGAACTTCTGTGTTGATTCAGCCCTTGTTCCTGATCCTCGGGTGGAGAATACACCGTGCATTCTGGACATAGACATGTTTCACTTGCTGGTAGGTAAAAATTTAATAACTCAGTTAAGTTAACAAATTAGCAGCATTTCTTCAACATATCTTGTTCACAACTCTAAACAATAAAAGTTTTTCACAGCAAAAACTGCATGTGTAAAAGAGCCTACTCAGACTCAGCCCGTTGTTTGGGAATGACCTCTGACCTCAGTTAACATGTGTGACAGGTGAGCTTGGTGCTGTCCCATCCAGCGGTTTTCTCTCTGGATTCCTCAGGGCTGAGTGCAGACACTGCACAGCTGCACTTCCTGCATCTCGTCACAGTTGCTCACATAGTCCAGATCCTCCTAACCTCCGTAGCAGGTGAGAGCCTCATCCTTCCCCTTCACAAAGCAGCCACATGTTCATAGAGACTTCATAAATGATTTTGTTGACTCCTGTGCGCCATCAGAGGAGGTGCGGATGGAGCAGGAAAGTGGAGGAGCAGAGAGGGAAGAGGAGGAGAAAGTGTGTATGTTCTACAACACACTCAGGATGCATCTGGGAAGGTGAAAGCACACACACATCTGCCAGCCACAGTGCGACTGAGAACTAGATACTTTTGTCCAATGAAATGCCATTTTGTCTATTAATATGTTGAAGGGATGCACTTATTGTCCATATCACAAAGAATTTTGTGTAAAATGATTTCTGGTAAGCATGATGCGAAACCAGTCTAATCATATGACTCAAATTTCTCAGATTGTTTCACTGTTCTGGGGTCATAGTTTTATTTCAGTTCTGTAAGGAGATCAAAATACAAAAAATGTCTATTTGAAATAAATGCTGTTATTTTGAACTTTCTATTAATCCTAGAATCCTTAAAGTATTTCCGTTTCCACAAATATATTAAGCGACACGTCTGTTTTCGACATTGATATTAAGCAATGTTTCTAGAGCAGCATATTAGAATTATTTCTGAAGGATCATGTGACACTCGGGTCTGGAGCAATGATGCTGGCAATTCAGCTTTGCATCACAGGAATAAATTAAATTTTAAAATATAATAAAATTTAAAAGTTATTTTAAAATTACATAATCTTTTACACCATTTTTACAAATTTGTAAACATTTTCAATAAATTTAAATGTAACCTCTTTACAACTAACACATAAATGTAACCTCTTTGAGCATAAGAGACTTCTTTCAAAATCTGCCAATGATAATAATAAAATGATTATGATAATATGTGCTGTCTACTATATAAATATTGTCACTGTCAGAGAGCTTTGATTTCAAAATGAAGAATGAAATTTGGTTTTTAGGGGAACTGTTTCACCTCTACTAGTTTTGTATGACCCTAATCTGAAAGCTGTATTGTGTTTCAGCGGTCTGCGTGAGGTGAACTCAGGCTGGCATCTGTGGCGCTGTGTGAAAGCTGGAATCCTGCCTTATCTGAGGGCAGCTGCTATGTTCTTCCACTATCTCAACGGAGCTCCAGCACCACCCGAGTTACATAGTAAATGACTCAAACATTACACGCATTTTACTGGCTTACTCTCCCATTTGCGGTATCATTTCTAATGCTGACTGTGTGTTCAGCTCTAGGTGTGGGTGAATGGGAGGCTCTGTGTGGATACCTGTGTCTGCCCTCCAACCTGCTCCAGCTCTTCTACAACAACCGGGAGCTCATGGAACCTCTGCTACACGGGTAACCGTCACTGTCTAGCAAAGCATCTGAAAACTGTGACATAATGATCAGATGTTAGTTTAATGAATTGTGGTGTGATGTGACGCTCTGCAGGTGGTGCTCTCATCCAGGTGTGCTGCAGGGTCTTCAGAGCAGCGTGGCTGTCATCAGGTCTGTCCTGCTCCTCAACGCTCAAGAGTTCACTGCAGCCGATGCTCAAGTGTTCACCATTCTTCCATTTCCTATTTTAGGTTTCCTAGAGACTCTAATTATCTCATAGAGCTGCCAGGCGACTACAGCGCCCTGATTAACCAGGCCTCCAGCTTCACGTGAGTCACCTCTGTCTTATGAATTAAATGCGATTAATAGCTCTCTACTGAGTCATACGCTCCTAGTTCTGTGAAGCAAATGATCTATTGATCCTGGTGGCATCTAGGTGTCCTAAATCTGAAGGAGACAAGTCTCGCGCTCCTACTCTGTGTCTGGTGTGCGGTGCTATGCTGTGCTCTCAGAGCTACTGCTGTCAGACCGAGCTGGAAGGAGAGGATGTGGGCGCATGCACCGCACACACTTTCGCCTGTGGAGCCGGAGTCGGCATCTTCCTCAGGTTTGTGCATGTTGATTAAAATAAAATGAATATAATGGGCAAATTGTGTAAAGGATAAGGTAAAATTATCAATGGGTTACCTTTTTGTGTCTGGGTCCTGATGTATTTTGTGATAATAACCGACTGACTATACATGCATCCCACATTACTTGGCTACTGTGCAAATGAATAAATAATAATAGATTTGAGTTCAAATTATTTAATGTGAGTGGAACGGAAGTGCTAGGAGACACATGCCTAGCTAGTGTAGGGAATGCCTTATTTGACAACATTTGCAAGAAGTTTACAGTATGCTAACATCTTCAACAGGTGGAATTGATGTCAAAATGGATTAAAAAAATCATTAATGTAATTAATGTTAATGTATTCAATAAGTCAACACTAGAAGTCTCAATGTGAACATTTTCTTAGTGCGTGTTATTCAAAAACGGAATCTTTGGTCCAAATAGAATCTCCTCCCTCACTCACCTCTCACTCACTCACTCCCCTCACTCCCCTCACTCACCTCACTCACTCACTCACTCACTCCACTCACTCCCCTCACTCACCTCACTCACTCCCCTCACTCACCTCACTCACTCCACTCACTCCCTCACTACCTCACTCACTCACTCACCTCACTCACTCACTCAAAGTAGTACTATAGTTTGTGAACATCAAAAGTACAGTAGGTTGTGAACATTTTCACATTAGGTGCTTCCAAAATCATGTCTTAGTAAGTACTACATTTGACACGGAACAAATTTTGCAACTGTTGTTTAAAAAAAGTATAGTAGTAGTAGGTCATCTGGTCATCTTTTTACCTACTGTTTTATGAATTTGAACATACTAATTTCACATACTGTTTTTCGTTGAATATACAGTAGGGGTGTGAATCATCACTGGTTTCACGATTCGGTTACGATCATGTCAACGATTCGATTGACTGAAATAACGGCGAGTGGAAGCTAGGGGTATTGACAAAAAATATCTAAATATTTTCTGGGATTTTATCGATAATTATAATTAAACTATATTTTGCTGTGTGTGTTATTGTGCTGGTACCTTAAACTGACTGGAGGTTTTTTTTATATTCTTCATATTCTGTGTGGTGGTCAGTTCACACTGATAGAAATTAATCTTTTTCGATAAGTTTAAATTGATTTTTACATTTTATGGGCATTTTTACCTTTATAACGCCGTTTTTTCTAATAGTGTGCACTATCTTTTGAGTCACATTTTTATTTAGTGAATTAGAATAATAAGACATTTGGGCTGTTACCAAACAAATGAAATCGGTATCAAAATTCGTCTTTGCAATACGGAGGAAACGCAGAAGCTGCATTCAGATGTATTTACACACTGTTTAATGCAGGACATGAATGCCTTTAACCTGCAGTTACAAATGCAAAAATAATGTTTTGATATGTATTAAACATAAAACGTTGAATACTGATATTTAAAATGATTTAAATAATAAAAGATACTTTAAATGTGAATTTCAAACTGCCAGTAGGTGGCAGCAAGTCACTTTTAATAAGTGAGTCATTGCGATTGAACCGAATCATTTAAATGGGTGATTCATTCAGGAACGAAACACAGTCATGTTGCTCAGAAACGCAAGACAGTGCTGTGCCTGTGTTTGGAATTATTTTTGTAGGCGAAATAGAGGAAAATCAGTCAATATGGTCTAGTAAGTCTCTTAATTAACTTCTTGTTTATTGAACTGTTGTAAAAAATCAATATCACATTTGTAATCATGGTCATTTTTGGAGAAAAACCGACAGTCTTCGTGTGATATATTGATTAACTATAAAGTGGTATAAATATATACATTTCCTGCCCCTATGTCTTGAATTTGTGATAATTCTAAATGCATTTTAATAGACTGAATCATGCAGTGAAAGAACGCACTCTAAATGTGCACGCACCAGTGTTAATTTTGACAGGCATTTTTGATTTAGTCTTAGTTTTTATCTTGAGACGAAAATGCTTAATAGTCTTAGTCACATTTTAGTCATTTGAGTCTTTCATAGTTTTAGTGAACTGAAGAAGTGGAGCGTGCGCGAGAGAGAGCACTTCTATCAGCGCAATTCCGCCTATCGTGTGTGCTTCACTAACTTTAAGTTAATCGACAATGAATTGTGACTCCCGGGAAAAACGGGATGTCTGGTCACCCCTTCGGGTGATGAGGCCATTGTTTCAGATCGCTAGTGCGCGTTTTGGTAGCCTATCCATCCACTGCGGCTGCCATACTGAGACTAGATATGCAAACGGCCCTTATCCGATTGCAATCCAATGACAGGGACGCACATTTTGAAGGACAAGACAGTAGCCTATTTATATGTATATGTATTTTATATGTCTTTAAACAAAAATAGTCATTAATTCTTCTCTCTTTAGACCAAATCAATTAAGCTCATGAGAAATTTGAATCGAGGATTGAATTAGGAAAAACTTGAATAAATGATGACAGTTATCATTTTTGGGTGAACTATCCCTTTAACAGTAGTGAAAAGGGAGC